GAATCTCACTCTGTCCTTTCAGTTTATCCTAAAGCAGCCAGATTTTATCTGGGCCCATTTGTATTTTTACCTGTGTTCTGTATTTCCACTAAGTAGGTGATTATTTCTACTTTTTGCCTTCCCCAGTTCCAGAATACAGAACCTGATGGCACCCCATCCTACCAGCTTTCCAAAGAGCGGTATCAGGCCCTCATGCCAGAATTGGCTACTGAAATTCAGCAGGTATTAACAGACACTTGTGAAAGAGGAATCTAGTCTTAATAACAATTTAAACTGCATTTAATCCTCTGAAATCTCAAAAGCAGCAAACCGTCTATGTGAGAGTTTCTAGTCACCTTTAGTTCTGTACTTCAACAGAAAAGAAGGATGTATATAACTGATCTCTGTTTGAACATAAGGATGAACTACTCGTATCAGTTTCATTAAGCAAACCCTTGGGTAAACATGGTTCATCTACAAAATACCCTGATTTTCCTCACAAGCGTCTTAATAAATACCAGCAGAACTCCTGAAGAACTCACTGCTAACAAAACTCTTCCCTGTGTATATACTCCACATGAACACTGAGTGCTCAAATGCTAGACAAAGTGTTTTACCACTTTCTTCTGAATATATGTTTTTTCATGCTTCGTTGTCAAAGTGCTTCAACATTCAGACAGAGAAGGAACATGATCAAGAGATCTGCTGCTAGGGATACTGACACCCAAGCCATTTCCTCAAGTTAAAAGTAATTCAGTAACATTCTACATCACTTACCAGAAAAGTCTGCAAAACCATTCAAAACACTACAAACAGGGTATTTTAACAGCTGGGATTGATATTTTGACATTTTACAACCTTTTGGGGAATTCTGCGTTTTGGGTGCAGAATACACTGGACATCCAGGATTTTTATTTTTTATTTTATGCTTCCACCAACACCCTTCTCTCTCCTCTTTAAGAAACAACCTGTACAGTAGGAACAGGACTGCACCACATAAGCATTCCATTTTACCTTCCTGATGCCTATAAAAGGCGGGATCAGAAAACAAGTTAAATAGCTCTAAACATGTCAAATAGCTTTAACATGTCAAACGTTCCAGAACTCTTTGAAGGCAAGTTTGCCCTTTTAAGAATATGTCTTGAGGGACCCATGGAGGAACCTGCCAGGAAGAGGAACAGCTCTGAAGCCTATAGCCATTCCTTCAGAGCAGGGACGAACTCTCATCCTCCAGCAGTTAACCACTGTCCCGAAAAATGACGATATTGAAGATACACAAAAGAACCATAGGCCTTCAGAGCTGGAATATTATTTTAGGAAATCAACAGTAGCATAATTAACATTGGAGCAGTATGTTTCTAGTGCAGAACATCAATCACTGGTAGAATACTAATAATCTGTTCTATTAGAATCTAAAAAATAGAAACATCTCCAAACAGCATGGTTCTCTTTCCATAGGTTATTTTACCTACAAAACTCTTCCTTTTCTACTAGGAGTCAAACTGAAGGTATACAAAAGACCTGGTTTGTTTAGGGTAACTTCTGAAAGAAAAGGATACAATTTATCTTCAATTTCTGAAGATAAAAAGAACTCATCACTTCCATAGAACAGTGAAGTTTCTCAGTCTTCAGAAGGTAAAACTAGGGGTTTTGAGAAATAATACTGTGAATTATTTGCGAAAGATTAATGTGAAATAATAATGTGATATTTCTCCTCCCCCTCTACTTGGCCCTAGTGAGACCTCACCTGGGAGTACTGTGTCCAGTTCTGGGCTCCCCAGTTCAAGAGGAACAGGGATCTACTAAAGAGAGTCAAACGGAAGCTACAAGAATGATGAAGGGACTGGAACACCTGCCTTATGAGGAAAGGCTGAGAGATCTGAGGCTTTTCAGCCTAGAGAGGAGAAGACTGAGAGGGGATCTAATTAATTAATGCCTCTAACTACATGAGGGCTGGGCCTCAAGAAGGCAGGGACAACCTCTTGTCACTTGTGCCCTGTGATAGGACGAGGGGAAATGGATTCAAACTTGAGCACAGGAAGTTCCACATCAACATGAGGAAGAACTTCTCTACTGTGAGGTTTACAGAGCCGTGGGACAGGCTGCCCAGAGAGGTTGTGGAGTCTCCTATTCTGGAGACTTTCAAGACCTGTCTGGATGTCTTTCTGAGTGATCTGCCATAGCTTTGGTCCTGCTCTGGCAGGGATGATCTTCCTAAGTCCCTGGACTCGATGATCTTCAGAAGTCCCTTCCAACCCCTAACATTCTGTGATTCTGTAATACAGTAACTGATAGCTGTTGATTAACAAAGTGCCTGTGCTTTGCTTTAACAGATTACAGAAGGAAGGTACTGTTGCCCAAACTAAAGCTAATCAGCCAGATTTTCAGTGGACCTAGTAAACATAAGGAATCTAACTGCTGTTAGTGTGCACACATATATGTACATATATGTACACTTGCTGCTTTGTTAAGCATGGGTGACACACACCTCTCTTGCTAGAAAATCTACCGAAGGCTGTCACCCTCAGCATCCAAAATTACAAAATACTTTTAAGTCCTCTTGGAAACAGATAAAGAAACTGAACTGCAAAAATATATGCAGCAGTCCTATGGTGACTAAATATAACATAGAGAAACATTCTAAAGCAGTTCAACTAATCTCAGACCTCTACACTTGCATATGTAGGCCCAACTGGCTCTCAAATAAACATAGTTACTTAAAACAAAAACTCCTACAGATCTTAAAAGTGCCTTGGCTGAAAACCACTTTTGCATAAGGAATCTGAAGAACATCACACCTGGCTGCAGTGGCTTGAACTTACCTTCCAGAATTAAAACACAACATGTCCATGTGAGATCAGAGTATTAAAGGATTCATGAAGAATAGGCAAAACAAGTTTTGCAAGTCATACTCATTAATATCCTAATGACACAGCCACAAACTCTCCATGTGCTTCCATTCCTAAGAAATCTGAGACACTAAATGCAAGACCAATTTTCCTCTAGGTTGTAAGTCAGAATCAAGCCTCCAACAGGTGATGCGTTTATCACAACGAAGGCTGAGCTACCCTGGAAACCACACCAGACAAGGCTGCAACTAAACCACTTGTTCAAGCAGTAGTTCTGCCTTCTACTTCTGCAAGCTATACTTGATGCTGGGGACTAAAATGCAACTAAAATAACAGGAGAAATCACTTGCTTTCCCAAACTGCAAAATAATACCAAGTCCCAATACTAGGCTGCTTTGTTGTCATCATGGAAACCTAGAAGTTCACTCGGAGTTAGAAAGGGCATTTGCAGCCAGGCCAGCCAGAGAAATTCAATGAAGATATGAAAACATCTCACAGAAACACTACCTTCTTTTTAAATCACGTTCAAATTATGGCTTTGATTAATCAACTACCAGATTCTCAGTGCCTCCTTTAGATTAGCCTAGTGATATTTTCAGTGTTCAAATTCGCAGTGGGAAAGACAAGTACTGCTTAACTGAGGAACTTTCTCAAGAGTGTTTTCAGTCTTTTGATCTCACATATCTCTCAAGTGGCATTAATTTTGTCCAATCTTTTTAGAGAGATAGATGGAGCCCCCAAACAAAAATACAGTTCTTAAATTTGCTCTCCCTTCCAGACTCCTTTTCTGGCCACTTGCTACATCCCTGCCAAGCACTCACGGGATCAAAGCACAGAAACCTCAGATTAAAAAGAAATCAACTAATCCTGGCAACAAGTGGCCAACTACTGCTTAGAAATTTGAAGCAAGCATTACAGGAAGCAATGGTATCTCACAGATCTGTTAAATAACCTGAAATAATTTTGAACACTGCAACCCTATCTTTAAAGCCCATACCTCAGAGACCAATGGCCCTCATAACACTAGCCATCAGACATCTTCACTGAAAATTTACAATAGGTTTTAGGACACACCAGTCATCAGGTGCATGAGAGAAACTGAAACTCATTTTCATTTCTAAAAGTGCTTCTAAAGGGGTCAGACTATTCTAATTCTTAGTGCTTGGAGTATTCCAGAAATACTCTTATCCTTCCTGCAAATCAAACTTTGGTCTCCGAGAGTTATAACAGGTTAGAAGAATTTTAGGGGACCACCTTTAACTATATTGATGCAACTTTCTGCTGACAAAAGCTACGCTAGTTTGCAAGTAGAATTTTCTCCAAATTCAAAATGCAAAGAGAACTAACAGCCCGAGGCCCTTGCCCTCTTTTCTTCCTCAGAATGAAGATCTCCTCTAAGACTGTACCTAGTTTTACATCTTTACACCTGTAAATAAATGTTATTTTTATCTAAAGTGTGTTCAAAGCTAAAGTCTGAAAATATTTTTCAGTACATTACTACTAGCCTGAGTATGCACCTGTAATAATCTAACACGATTTTTTACAAAGTAGGGGGTTTACATCTTTTTGTCTTTGGGATTTTGAAACTGACAAATAATTTCCAAATCCACATCAAACACCTAAGTAAAAAACCTCAGAAAGACTTTAATTATGCAAGCCTTCACACTAAAAATAACAAATGTAGTGGCACTAAGTTGATTTAGTCCAGTTCCAAAACACGAACATTTAATATGTATTTTTCAACAGTCATATCTCAGGACTACAGAATGGAAAAATGTATTTGTGAAAGTCAAAACAGAGGAACAAGTGTTCACCCATATATTCCTGTAGTAATGGATTAGTAATTATATATTGACCAAAGAAGCAGAAAAGAAGTCATTTTAGCAAGTCTACTTCCTTCCATTCTCTCCACTTTAATCCTCCCCCAAGTAACACATGTAACCTTATCTGGTCAATGAAATACCATATAATTCAAATTAACTTTTCTAACTTTGTATGTACAGAACAAATGGATCAGGCTACCCTCAAACCCCCATATTTTCCATGTTCTGCTCCCCACCCACCATCATGGTAAATTTCCAGATTTGTGAATATTTCACTAGGATCAAAATTTACAGGTTGCCAGATCTGTGTACTAGTTAGGTTCAGAAACAAACTGTACAAAGAAAGTACCTGCTGCCTCCAGTAAGGCTTCTAGTCTTGCTTGTGTTTCTGGATCCACAGTTCTCAAGTCCGCACCTTCTGCAGTACTCGATACGAATAACTCCGACGTGGTTTTAAGTACTTGGTTATCAAGATCTTCTTGGTCCAAAATAAATGATTCAACCTGTTTGCCAAGACAGAAAAATAATTTTACCATTTTTGAAGTTTTATACTAGATCTGAACTATTAAGGAAAATATAAAACAATTTAACTGCACGATCATAATCATTTTTATGCTGCACAGATTACAGGACACAACTGTACAGATTACAGGACAGAACTGTACAGATCATCTGGTCAGCTCACAGAAAAGGTAGGTGAAACCACAAAAGAAAAAACTCTCGATGAAAAACAGTTTATTGTAAAATTAACAACTAACAAGTTCTTGAACTACAGCAAGGGCAACTCAGATTAAAGATTGAAAGTACATTCTGCATGTTTGGACAGTTAACCACCAAAGCAGGCTGCTACGAGATGCTACAGTTTGTCACCAGAAGTCTATCTACTTTGTTATTAAAAAAAGCTGTCAGTAATTACTATGGTACAGCTGAAACTGTCTTGAGAGCCAAGGAGGGACTGAATGGTTTCCCTTGATGCTTTTCAGTTCTACTTTAAAAGTAATTTCAATTTATGTAGCACAAGAATTTTTTTGTTATCTTTTTTTTTAGTAGAAACACCACAGTTGACTAAAATTCAAACCCCAAATATCAGTTTCCAAGCTGGCACTTAGTATTACCCCAGTCATTAATGTTTTCTAGACAAGAACAGCTGTGTAGGACAATTAAGCAAGCAGGTAGTCCAGCTGAGCAACAATAATGCAGTCCCACCAGTTGCTCACATGATCTCCAAATGCAAGCTCATGGAATTACTCAACATAACACACTGTAGTTTTCTGACAGCTTGACTAAGTAAACAAGGAGAATATCCAACTCATATTCCAATGAGTAGAACTGTATTTCAGAATTTGCCCAAATACTGTACAAATACTGTAAGATAAAAACACTACTTCATAGTAAGATGTTACCTGTTCAATACAACTGGAACCTTAAATATCCCATAGAAATGAGAGGTGCTCATTATGTCACCACTGCTGCCCTCTCCCACTTCACGACCCAGTCACTTCTTCCTTCTCTCTTTTTTTTCCAAATTTATCACCCCATCTTTCTCATGCCAGCAGTGAACTATCATCATATTCAGCCCTATCATGTAACACCTCACAATACCTTAAGGAAGTTTAAAATCATAGAAAGTTCTGAAGTTATACTTCAAAAAGAAAAAATCGTATCAGGCCATCTGCAAATTCATTACAGTATGAGGAACCTGGAGAGCTCCACAGAGCACTGCTATTCAAGGGCAACTGGTGCTAACTTCTTCCCCTTTCTGATCTGTAAATGTTTTGTAACATTATCCCCTGGTGCCCAAGCCAATCTGTGGATACCCAGGGAAACACAATGCTAACAGATGAATCCAATGGGCACCAGGGAGGAGTGTCTTTCAGGCTCCAGAACATCAACCCAACATCTCGGTGGATACATGCACAATACTGGCGGGCTAACAGGTGGGACATCTCACCTGCCAAGGCACAAACATGGAAGCTCAAACAGCAGGCTATGATTTAGGGCTCTGAGATGGTCACTGTGTGAAAGAGCTGAACATTCATCAAGGAGAAAATTAGTGAACTAAATCAGCAATATACATTTTTTCTACAAGGAAGAGCTACTTAGAAGTCACAGCAAAATGTATCCCTCTGCAGAACTCAAATTCCAGGTTGTGTCCATCCAGTCAGCTTAAGGACTCCCTGCTGCTATAAGCTCTGATGCAGAACTTGACTTCTGGCACCCATACCTACAGGAGTAATGCTAGGTTTTTAATTTTCTCCCCCAGGACTACTGGTCTACTACTACTAAAGGTACTCTGCTTCAGCAATGTGCTAGAAATATTTTTGCTACTGCAACCATCATTGCATGACGTGGTAACTGGCAGATACTACTGTGTATGTAATGACTCCACCTTACAAATAGTTGAGAAGTACATAGGAGAAATTTTATTACAAATTCATGGACTTTTTTGATTACACCACTGAATTTAATGGCAGTCTTAAATTTTGAAGATATATCAAAAGGGGTAAAAACGTTGCCTACCACTTAAGCAACTGCACTTTGCACCAGCAAGGATTGCAGGAACATTCATAGTGGCAAACCTTAACTTTCAGCCTCAGAACTAGGAACATCAGCCTTGCATTGACCTTCCAGAAGTTGTCCTGCTGCAAGGTTTAAAACTTCATTTTTTGATACTTTGTTAAAGACATGGACCATTTTCTCCCCAACCTCACATGCATATTTACAGGACATTATCTGCAACAACACACCTCTTGAACCTAAATCAGGGTTAACTAAACATTTCACAGAATCACCCTGGTTGGAAAAGACCTTGAACATCAAGTCCAATCATAACCTAAATCTACCCGTTCAGTGCTTAAATCATGTCACTAAGCACCACATCTGTATTTCTTTTAAACACTTCCAGGGATGATGACTCCACCACCTCCCTCGACATCCTGTTCCACTGTCCAACCACTCTTTCAGTAAAGAAATTCTTTCTAATACCCAGCCTAAACCTTCCCCGGCTCAACTTCAGGCCATTTCCTCTGGCCCTGTCATTATTCACTTGAGAGAAGAGTCAAACTCCCATCTCCCTACAACACCCTTTTAGATAGTTGTAGAGAGCAATGAGGTCTCCCTCAGCATCCTCTTCTTCAAACTAAGCAATCCCAGTTTCCAACTAATCTATCGACTTGTAGGAAACTTCTCTCTCCCCCTAACAGGAAGTACATTTTGCTTACAGGAAACTCTAAAAAAGTCTTTTTAACACTGATTATGCAAACACTACTTTAAGTGAATTACAGAGACAGCTTTTCCTTATGGAAGAAGTTGGATAGCAGTCTGCTCTTTTCACCATTCTCTTCAACTCTAACTCCCTTTCAGCTCTTCATTAGGTTTACAACTGTACTTCCAGAGACCTCATGCATTTAAAGTCTCACATAAAAATCTTGCTTCGTATACAGTATTTTCATCTTTGTTTTGTATCACAGCAAGCTTTCATTATTTCTGCATGTTGAGCATCAAATTTTATGTTTGGTTTTGATATTTTATTAAGAGCTTAATAACATACCCACAATACAAAAATAACTTCAGTGTGAAAATACTGAAAAGCCATAAGCAAAATGTTAAGACAGCTGTAACCACTGCCAGCCTCCCAGAACAAGTTTCAATGCATTTTCCAGTCAGAATGTCTGACATTTCTCTGAATCAATGCAGCTTCTCAACCACTAAGACAAGGCTAGACAGGATGAACAGCTAGGTACCTTGTCACTAATAGCAGAGTAAGAAATCAGCTCATCCTCCAGATGTTTCTTGTGAATGGCAGTGACCTAAGACAATAACATACTACATTTTTTTAAATGTAAAAAAAATAATAAAATTACCCCAAGTATATCAAGGTTCACTTTTTAAACAAAAAATAAACTTCATTAAAGAAAACAACAAAGCAAAACAAAAAAAAAAAACCCAGCATATTTTATGTTAGCATTCCCAGAAGACTTAACACATTGCTCATGTGGCAAAATTTAGGCACTCTGCTCTATCCTAATCAGATCTGCAGCAAAGGGACAGAGTAACCAGTCCCTGTGCTATTTTTGGATTATTCTGCAAGATACTTTGGGGAGTCAATAAGCATGTTACTTGACAAGGTACATTCAAGACATTATTCTAACTGCCAAAACAATTGTAACAAGGAATAACTGACAATCAAAAACCAAAGAAGATACCAGAGAATGCTGAACATCAGGCTGCTTCACCATATGTCGTGTTTCACGCTCATCCACAGGAATGACAGACCTTTCCTGAAGTTCTGCCAAGGCCTGGAGCAGCCTCACAGAACTGCAGATCCAGTTACACCACTGGTTCCTCCCTCCACAGCAGCTACATTCACAGCTATTTGGACTCAACTACATCAGCATTTATATGTTAATACCATGACTGAGTTTACCTCAGGTCAGGGGTATGTGAAGACAAATTTGCAAGCACTAACATCACAACTAACATGAGCAACTCTTGCAAGATGGGCAATGACACTCACGGTTAGAAACACATTTCTAATATTGTCTAAACTGGTTTTTCCTACATTATTGGAAAAAAAAAAAAAAAGGTACTTTTTTCCAGAAGAGACTGGACCTGCTCAAAAATTGCCTGTTACTAACACAGGCTCCAGACATGGAGAAGCTTCTTGCTGCACCATTCGGTCTTCCTGCAGGCAAGGGCAGCAACACAGACAGCTTCTTCTATCTTTTCCTTCCATTGGTGTCAAACCAGTACTTCTGGGAAGACTATCTTTACAAAAAGTGTTGATATGAAAGAGAAAGCTGCTATTATTTCCTTGAACTTGCATTTTCCAAATACATCCCAATACTACCCTGGGGTAACAACACTCCTTGCTCTGTGTTTGTGGAGCATCCACAAACAATCCCAAACTTGAGACCCCTTGACTGAGACCCTATAACTCCTATTTTTTATGCAAATAAATTACTACCTGATTTTCTCTCTCATGTTAGTAACGCTTCCTAATAATTCCTATAATAATTCCATTTGGACAGATGTGTCAACACATCTGACTACACACAGAGGGACGTTGGCTTCCTTAAGACGAACATAAGCCTGAAGATCAGGCTGAAAGTTCATGCCTATGAAGCTGAAATAGATCATCTATATTTAAATTATTTTCATTCCACAATTAACAAGATGTGCAACACTATAGTAGGATCACACCAGGAAGACACTGTGGTTTTGCTTGATCAACCTGACAGTTTATGTTGTCATGTCTTTTATTACACTGCATGCCAATTTCTAATTACCACTTATAATCCTGCTTCAAAAGTTTTGGGGAATACTGATAGGACATCAGATACCATAACACTAAGTTAAGGCCAAAAACGAGTTTGCATTGAAATTTGACATCAAACTCCTTTCAATTCCATATATAAATAATATCAGCCTCAAAAATATTAAAAATAATTGCAAAGAAAAAGTAAAATGAAGGACTTTGTCACTGACATGGCACTTTTAAGTT